TCCGGAGCCTGGAGCCGGAGCCAGTTTTTAGACCTTGGCTTTAAAGCCCTAGCAGTGACGGATCTAGGGGAATAGGGTATGTCCATTATGGATCTGTCACATACTTTCTTCCCAGGTGTGTACAATGCAACAAACAAATTTTCTTTCGCCAACGTAGACTTGAAAAAAAAACTTAACTTTTATAAAATTTTTTTTTTAATTCTTTGCTTTGTCTCAAATAGATTTGAGACAAAACAAAGAATTAAAATGAAAGAAACATATTTTAAGCAATATTACTATGTAATATATCCAAATGAATAAATATAAATGCAAAAGGTTTTTGATGCAATTTTAAACAAGTTCAACTTGTTCAAAAGGCTTATAAATGTAAAACAAGTAAAGAAAAACTACATCAAAAGCCTTTCTATATTTGTATTCATATACTTTTAGATACATTACACTTTGTGTATATATATACTTATTTTTCTGTATATATATATTTATTTTTATGTATATATATATATATATATATATATATATATATATATATATACATAAAAAAAAAGACAAATATTGACTATACTCGAATAAAATCTCAATTTATTCAAGATCCACTTCTCAACATAAACAAACTGAACACTTCTTACTTTGATTCGGATAAAGCCGCTATTTTCCTTAAAAGATGTGAATTATATTTTTCTAATCAATTCTCAGTGTTTCATTTAAATATTCGTAGTATTACTTAAAACTTCGACGAACTAAAAGTCCCACTAGATAATCTTAACTTTAACTTTAGCTTAATTTGTTTAACGGAAAGCTGGATTTTAGATACAACATTTAATCAAAATTCTAAATTTATATTGCCCAACTACAAAGCCATTAGTTTTGAACGTAACTCTTCAAAAACAGGCGGTGGTATATGTGTCTATGTGCTCGATGAATTTACTTATCAAATTAGATATGACCTGTCGTTTTCTGAGCCGGATTTTGAATCTTTCACTTTAGAAATCTACAATAAGTAATCTAAAAATATTATTGTGACAACTACATACCGACCACCAAACGGATGTTTAAATAACTTTCAAAATCACTTAAGTGACTATTTTGAAACAGCATGCAAAAAAAATAAAGACCACTCATTTTTATTTCTTGGAGATTATAACGTCGACTATTTAAAATATGGTGAAAATAATAAAGTACAACAATTTTACGATAGCTTTAATGAGTTTGGAATGATGCCTATAATAAATAAACCAACAAGAATAACACAACACTCTTGTTCTGCAATCGACAATATTTTCACAAATACACTCTTCCATTCCGCATTTAAATCAGGCATCATCAGAAGTGACATAACCGACCATTTTCCAGTCTTTGCAATTTTCAAAAAACCAAAAGATTTACAAAAAAAGGACTGGTACTTCAAAAAAAGAATCTTTACAACCCGAGCAAAAAATATGTTTAAACTAAAGCTATCAACTGTAAATTGGAACTTTGTTTTTCTTGAAACATGTACTAATAACAGCTACAACCTTTTCTTAGATAAATTTCTCAATTTGTACGATAAGCATTTTCCTAATAAAATAATCCGTATTAAAACTAAAGGTCTTCTTAATCCTTGGTTCACTAAAAGCCTTTTAAAGTCTTCGAAGCGAAAACAAAAGCTATATATACGCTTTATTAATTCAAAGAAAGAACGTGATAAGCATAATTACTTAGAGCACAAACGTCTAAATGAAAGAACTAAAAAAATTGCCAGAACTACATACTTCAAAAACAAGCTGTTAGAACTAAAAGGTAACTGCAAAAAAACGTGGGATGCTATTAAAGAGATTCTTGGAAAACAAAAAATACACAACAAAGCCTTACCAAACGTGATTACTGTAGACGGCACACAGATCTCTGATGTAAAACTGGTGGCAACAAAATTTAATGAGTTTTTCGTAAATATTGGTCCAAACTTAGCCAGCAAAATTAAACACACTCCTGCACATTTCTTGAGCTATCTATCAAAGTCGGATAAAAGCTTAGCATTTAAAAAACTCACTAGTAAAGAACTTGATGATTCAATAAAAAAATTAAATAAAAATAAAGCAACAGGCTATGATGCTATTTCAGAAAGCATAATCAAAGACTGCTACGAACTTATTAAAGATGTTTTATTAGATATTTTTAACAAATCGCTTAAAACAGGTGTTTTTCCAGATAAAATGAAAGTTGCAATTATTACACCCATTTTTAAATCAGGAGATGAAAGTCTGGTTACAAATTATCGACCTATATCGGTATTACCTGTATTTTCAAAAATCCTCGAACGTATCATGTATAATAGGATATTTGCATTTTTGTATGATAACAATCTTCTTTATTGGAACCAATATGGTTTTCGATCAAATTACTTAACGGAACATGCACTTATGCAACTTGTTGAAGTTATCAGTGAAGCATCTTCTCATAACAAGTTCACCTTAGGTATATTCCTAGACTTGTCAAAAGCATTTGACACCGTTAATCATCAGATTTTATTAGAAAAACTAAAATATTATGGAATAAGCCACGAATACCATAAATGGTTTACCAGTTACTTAACTGATCGAAAGCAGTTTATTTCTCTTAATGATGGCTTTCAGACAAACAAACTTAAAATATCATGTGGGGTTCTACAAGGCTCCATCTTAGGTCCGTTGCTATTCTTAATCTATGTCAACGATCTATATAAAGCATCAAATACTATGTCTACTATTATGTTTGCAGACGACACCACTTTATTCTATTCTCACAGTAATATTATCTCTCTACTTCAAGTAGCAAATAATGAACTAGAACAAATATCAAACTGGCTTTTCGCTAACAGCTTATTTTTAAACACTGATAAAACTAAGTTTTCCTTATTCCATTCTAAACGAAAGTTTCAATCTATTCCAAAATCCTTACCAATGCTATATATAAATAACATCAATATTGAGCGCTCATTCACAAATAAATTACTTGGTATTTTAATAGACAAAAACTTATCCTGGAGAGCTCATATAAATCATATTAGCAATAAAATCTCAAGAAGTATTGGCATCTTATATAAAACCAGACGAATCTTAGACAAATCTGCACTAACTCAACTATATTTTGCATTCATAAATAGTTATTTATCTTATGGCAATATTGTTTGGGGTAGTACAAATAAATCTAAACTCGACTGTCTCCTTAAACAACAGAATCATGCAGCACGCATTATTCATTTTCAAAATCGCTTCACAAATGCTAAACCTCTTCTAACAAGCATGAGGGCTCTTGATATTTATGAGTTAAATATTTTCAAAATTACACAATTTATGTTTCAACATCAGTCAAAAAAAACGCCGAAGGTTTTCGAAAATATTTTCCATAAAACATTAAACCGATACAACACGCGATCTACCGGAAGATTTAAAAAACCTTTCCGTTCATCAAAACTTACGAGCTTTGCCATTTCCTATCGTGGCCCAATGCTATGGAACCATTTTACAAGTCTGAGTGGTAAATTTAAAGAAGCCAATACCTCTCAAAAATTTAAAAAGAACATAATCGAACTTATTGCCAATCACGATTCTTTACATGATTTTTTCTAACAATACACGATTATTTCCAATTTTTATTATCAAAGGTTAATAATGAAAAGACTTTATCTTCTTCAGGTTCTCCGGTCTTGTAACTATTATAAATAATGAAATGTACTTGTATTTAATATTTCTAAATGTTTTACGGAAATTATCTTTAATTGTAAATGGTTGCTTGACAAAAATTGAAAAAAAAAATATATATATATATATATATATATATATATATATATATATATATATATATATATATTTTTTTTTTTTTTTTTTTTTTTTGACACTTTTCTTCCAAGGGACTTAGTGGTATCCTTGAGGTGGCGATCGCGTCACAAAACGAGATACCATTTTTGCAGGGGGAAAACAATGAACAAAATGCATTAGTAGCATTTTGTTTAATGCCTTATTTAAACAATAGCGCTTATCACGCCTTTAGTTCAATGTTTTCCCCCTACAAATATGGTAACTCGTCTGGTGACGCGATCGCGACCTCAAAGATTACTGAACTTGTTTTTTTCTTGCCCCAGCCATGTATTTATATATTTGTATTTGCTTAATCTCATAAACTTTTCTTATTGTCAAAATATATTAAACCCGAAAAGTATAATGTATAAAAAAATTGTAAAAAGATAACTTTTTTCTAATTCAATCGTTGGGTAATCTTGGCGGAAAAAAAATTAAAAAAATTATTTATGTAGGAGTTATAGTTTTAGTAAATAAAAAACATTTTAATTAAAAAAAGTGCCATTGCACGTTTATTTTTATTATTAAAATTTATTAGAAAACAATTTGATTCTTTGCTGGCCTCTCTAAATGCCCTGGCCCCGCAGCAGCTGCCTAGGCTGGATATATATATGTATATATTATTATTATTATTATTATTATTATTATTATTATTGCTATTATTATTCTTATTCTTATTATCATTTTAAGTTTTTAAACATTCATTTTGGTTTGTAGTTTTTTTGTGTCATTGTGTTTCCTTGGCAGGGAAACCCTGTTTTTGGCATATTAAAGAAATAACTTTCTAGCATAAAAAAAGTTTAAACCTTTGCTCGTTAACATCAATGTAAAATGTTGAATGTTTTTCAAATAGTTGCCAGTAGTTGGACTGTTCAAATAATGATATCCTCAATAATGCACTATGTAAGGCATAGGGGAGAGCAATTAGATTTTGAAAAAATAGTTTTATCTTAAATAAGATCCAAGTTTAAAACAAATTCTAAACTTCAATAAAAAAGACACAGCTTGAAGCTCTAAAAACTGTAACAGGCCTTAAGATGAGTGAGTTTTAAATTATAAAAAACACGAAAAGGTGAAGTTTTTATTTTCAACCTATACCTCATGTAAATTGACTGTAAAGTTTTATAAAAGTTAAAGTAAAATGACAAATGTTTAATTATAAACTGTACTGGTAATCCTTCTTTGCAGAAAAAAAGCTTACAACCACCCTATTCAACTGAATGTGGCAGTGTAGAGTTAAAGTATCATTCTGTTTACAATCGGAGAGCATGTTTACTTGAGTTGCTAACTGAATATTTAGGATTGAAATGTGGATGTCGCAGTCTATATATGCCAGGTATTTTTTTATGACATTTTTGTACAAAAGTTATATGTTATCATATATGCTAATGCAAAGTATAATATGTTATGTTATACTTATGTAGCAATTGTTTTAATTCCAAACTATTTCATAAAAAATGTTCTAGTTTAAAAAAAAAAAACAATATTAGTAAAAAAAATTCTGTACTTAACATATTCAAGAAAATCCAATATACTTTAGATCAATAAAAATACCAAAAAAAAACTATTTGTGAAAATATTAAAATGTGTATTTTTAATACATTTCAGATACTTGGTGCATTAAGAAATAAAGATTGCCTCAAAACAAGCCATTACAGTAAATCTTTCATATTTTAACAAACTAGATAATATATTGGTTATAGCTAAATATATCTTTTCCAGAATTACATTTACAAAAAAGACCATGCTATGCCTGTAAAAAGTTTTAAAACTGCAAAAGTTTCTTAAAGACTTCAACTTGCTCTCAACTAAATATTTAATTTATACAAGTGGAAAAGTTTGCAATAATATTTTTGAAAGTATATATTTTGGTATATGCTGGTGTAACTAGGAATGTTAAAACAACCATTCTGTTTTCACAAAAGTAATTGATGGCATCTACCTGGCTTTCATAATTATACATAAAGAGTAAGGCTGGAACAACTTTTAAACATGAAACTAGTTTTTTTAAATGTGTTATAAAACCATTAAAAATAATAGTCCTGTGATCCAGCAATTATTAAAAATTTGTAAAACCTTTATTTTTTTAAATATTTTTTCAAAAATTTACCTTGACTATCATATTTTGATTTTGGTTGGTTGAAGGTTGTCAAGTCTATTAAATTGATATTTAAAAGACTTGACAACCTTCAACCAACCAAAATCAAAAAATGCTATTCAAGCTCAATTTTATAATATTTTATAATTTTGCAATAGTATTTCATACCTTTATCAATAATAAAAAAGTAAAGGTATAATAAATAAGCGTGGGAATATCCAAATTTTTTGTAATGAACTGAAGCAGAGTGTTTAACCTTTTTTGTAACCAATTTTTTGTGTTAATCAATAATAATCGTTCATAATTTTTTTCCATAACATAAAACTTTTTTTAAAAATTTTCATAATTGTGTCTACAAAAATTTACAAATATATTAGTTTTTTGCTTTTTAAAAAACTTTAAGCTTTTCTATTAATAATTACTGTACAATTTTCTCAAGTATAATTAATTAAAATTAGTTACAAATTTTTTTTTTGTTTTAATTTTTGTTGTTTACTGTTTGTTTCAATTTAATTTCTTTTTTAATTAGGATTAATATTGTGCTGTTATTTTTTTATAAAAGCTTAATATAAAAAGTTCTTTACTTATGTATATAAGTGCTGCAGGCTAAAGCACTTTTTATAGATTTAATTCAATTTTTTACTTTTTTAATTTAAAAAAAGGCGATATTAATTTAGTTCACAATTTAGCGCACTGATCACTGAAGCACTACCAAGCACAGTGAATCAAAATTGTATTTTGTAGAGACTGCGCTTTCTAAATTGTGATCTTTTGGTTGTGAATTGTAACTTGTATATAGTAATTTTATATAAAATGTATTATATATTGTAATTTTATATACAAAATCAATGCAAAATAATAAAATTATTTATGTGAAAAGTACAAGCCTTTCTATATCAGCTGAATGAAATAACTATAAAAGGCTGATATAATTTTATGATATAATTGATATAGTTTAATGATGTATGGTAATTATGGATATATGATATATAAATTTATGATATATAAATTTATGATATGGGGCTGAAAACATGTTAAAAATGAAAAAGTTCAATTTCATATGATACAGCAAAATAGATTAAAATCTATTAATTCAACTTTTTAACACATGCAACGTGATTAATCATCTTTTTAACGTGATTTGTCATTTTTTGCCAGCACACATTCATTTAAAAGTTAGTATGCGATAGTATCTTAAACAGTTTTATGGATATACTTTTCCATGGTGATATTTTATTGTGATTGAATCATTGCAGACTGAAAAATGATAATTCCGCTGTTACTATCATAAAAGTTTTTTTAAAACTGTTTAGAAAATGGGGAGGCTAAATGCAGTCTCTGCCCCCCATCCCCACCCTCGTGTTTGAGTTAGGGGAGGGGCACATTTTAGTTTAGGGGTCAATTATACCATGTTATATAATTATATTAGTATATCCACTGACGTAGAAAGAGAGGGGGGCTATCACCCCCTCTGCCCCCTCCCTGTTCCTATGCCAGTGGATATACCAATATAATTATATAACATGGTAAAATTGACAGCGGACTAATATAATTATACGGATATAGTTACATCAGTCAGCTGATATAGGAAGACTTGTATTTCTCATTTAATTATTTCATTTTTATTTGATTGTTTTTTATGATAAATTATAAAAAATTGTAATGAATTACAAGAGTTATATACCATTTTTTATCAAGAATAATTAAAATACGAAATATAGAAATTTTCAAAAATTTAAGTGAAAATTTAGTGAACTCCAAAAAAAATAAGCCTTAAACAGCAATTTTATTTTGATATATCCAATAATCATGGAAAAGAGATAGCTTGTTCTAAATCTACAGGAAGTAGTATAAGGGAGAAATTTAAGAATTTATATATATTTTTTTATATCAAAAAAATATTTTACCACCATCAAAATATTTTATCACAATCAGGTTAAATTATTTCTAACCATATGTGCTCAATACTTTCCTTTAGATAGATGGAAGCTCAACACATTTTTTAACTTGTTCTTGAATTAAAAATGAAGAATGAAGGTTATGGTTAGTTTATATTTGTTGTAGCAATTGGATTTGTTGGCTGAGCAGTAAACATGGAAGTAAGAGGAAAGAAAAAAATAGAGGTTTAAGTGAAGCACAAATGTTAGGAATCCTCTAGAGAGTACAGCAATTTATAGAGAAGGCTGTAATAACAAAGATACTAAATTTGATAAATATAATGAATAATATAAGTAACATAGTCACCTACAAAATATCAGATGTTAAAAAATGAGATGCCTGCAAGAAAAATCTATGCAAAAAAATCTGTTCATTATTTATTTTTGCTTTGTAATTTTAAATGTAAAAGTTGTATATAAAAACAAATAATAATATTCAAAAGATTGATGGAGAAAAGTATTCCATGAAGAATCTAATTTTTTTTTTTTTTCAACATCTTTGCTTCCAACAAGGCTGCAAGAAACCACTATTAGAGTTGGAAGTTACTAGAAGAGAAAATATGAAGTTTATAGAGCAAGATAAGGATTGACAGACAACTTAAAAGATTTCAAATTATATGAATCAGGAAAATAAGATAAAGGAAGTGAATTTCAAAGAATGGATGTTTGAGGAAAAAAACTAGGCGAATAAGAGTTTTTGGAGCACTTAGGAATAATTGCAGAAAAAGGATGAGACTTAATTGAGTGGCAAGTAACACAAGAATGAATTTTAGTAGATGGCACAAGAGATGCTAGCTCTTTAGAGCAGTGCCCGTTATAGTATTTGTAGAAAAAAGAAAGAGAAGCAACATTATGGCAATGGTTAAAGGTTGGCTGCAAGAGCAGGTCCAATTATATTTACAATGCATTATTGCACTGTGTCTAAAAGAGAAAGGGCATCATTGGAAGATCTGCCCCGCATATGGCAAGAGTAATCCATACAAGGGCGGACTTAAGATTTATAAAGATAAAGAATAGAATCCAGAGTAAGAAAGTGTTGAGCACAATAGATAGATGCAGCCTTAGAAGATGTTAATTTTGCAATGGATTTGATATATGATTTCCAAGAAAGATCGGAAGTAAGAGTTAATCCTAGAAGATGATGGGGAGATGACTCATTGAGTACATCACTGTTCATAAATACAGAAAGATCTAAATTGTTGCAATAACAATTGCCACTGTGAGTAAAATGCTGTAGCAGAAGTGAGATCCTTTTCAAACTCAAATGCCCCCTCTAAGTGATCAGAGAGTGTTGGCTTCTTGTCAAGACAAGAATAAATGGTAGTCAGCGAATAAATAGTCAACAGCGAACAATGCCACCTTAGAATTGAGAATATTTAGAAGATTGTTAATGTAAATTAAAAAGAGTATAGGCTCAAGGATTGAACCTTAAGGAACCCCTGAAGTTACAGGATATGAAGAAGAATGCTGTCCATCGAGGATAACTTTTATACTAAGATTGAAAAGGAAGGATTCAATAATCTTATAGATTTTACCTGATATACTGTAAGAAGAAAGCTAATAGAGAAGACCAGCTTGCCAAATATTATCAAAAGCTTTAGAAATGTCAAGAGGGATACCCTTAACCTATCCACCTCTGTCTCATGTACAATAAAACCTATCGGTTATTACTGTTAGCAAATTGGCTGTAGAACAAAAAGATCGAAATCCATATCAATGATCAGAAAGTATTTTTTTAGATTTAAGATAAGAAATTAAGTGTTTGATAATTAAAGATTCAAAAACCTTGCTTATGAAAGGAAAAAGAATAACAGGACGGTAGTTAGATGAGTCAGATCGGTCTCCAGAATTTTTAAAAATAGGGATAACAGATCAAAGTCTGCTTTCCAGCATGCTGGAAAACAAGACTTCAATAGACACTTGTTAAATAGTTTTGAAAGTATAGACAACAGTTCCGGAGGACACTTCTGCAAGACTACAACAGGTATGTTGCTCACACCACAAGTGTATGACTACAACAGGTATGTTGCTCACACCACAAGCTGTAGAAGAGTCTAAGCAGGAAATCACTTTAGATATAGAAGTTGGAGTAATAGGAATGTCAAACAATTGATCAACCTTTTTGTCTGCAATATTAGGGAGAACACATCTAGTGGAATTAAGAAACGATATTGATGTAATGTTCTTAGCAAACAGTTCAACTTTGTCTTTAGGTAAGGTGATGAAATCCGAACCAAACAAGAGAAGTGGAATAACAAATTTGCCCTTATTATTGATACTGTTAAAGATTCTCCAGAAGTCAAGAGAGCTAGTTTTTGTGATGAAATACAAGATTTCATGACCTGAGAATAATGGGCTTTGGTGTTAGACAAAACCTTAGACATCTGTGTTTCTGGAGAATTATTTTGCTGATAGATATGGAAGTAATGGTTTCAATTGGAAATTGCAGCAGCACAATGTAAGGTAAACCAAGGAGAAGAGTGAGGCTTTACTAGGAATTGTAGAGAGGGAATAAAAGATTACATGCCTGCCTGAATCAAAAAAGTTATGTAAGAAGCACATTTATCAGCATGAAGATGAAAGGTTTCTACCCAAGGGTCATCACTAAAAAAATCACAGGAAGAGTCCCAGTCAGCTTTAAGGTATTTGTATGAGGTACAATGATTGGGGATTCTGATGATGAAGAAGAATGAGATAACAGTTTTAAAGAGATCAAACCGTGATCAGAAACACCTAAGAGTAAATGTGGACAAGCTAAGCACTAAGATCAGAAACAAGACATAAGTTGAGTAGAGAAAGTAAATGATTCTGCTTGTCTGGAAAACTAGTTAGAAACTTGACTAATTGAGATTAAGAAAGGCAAAAGTTGTTGGTCTTAATGCCTGCAGTGTCACTACACTAGAAACCATTCATTGTGATGTACATAAAGGTCATCAACAACAACAATATTGGCTGATGGATAAGGCGTCGTCCATAAAGTACGTACGCTCATACAGGAAAGGTTTTTAAAAAGCATACGAAAGCTTATGGGGAGGGGGGGGGGAGTTTTCAATTTAAAAGTACATACTTCGATTTTGTAATTTTACACAATTAACCAGCTAGTCAATAGAAAAGTTAAAATTCTGACTAAAGATCCTAGTTTGCCAACATAAAAAGATGTATTGTATAGGGATTAGAAGGTATAGTTTCTCTCTATGCACACACTTGCATGGGCGTCCGCAGGATTTTTTGATGTTCCAGATAAACCACTTCCACACATTGTGCAAACTCCTAACTTAAGTATGTTTAAACCTATGCCATTTGAAGAGGCCTTGCAAAAAATAGTTATGGCAGTAGTCTGGGAACAAAAAACCCCTCAAATGCTTGCATCCCCTCCCCTGCCCAAACGTGAGGGCATTAATGTAGTAAAATTTTCCGACCCCCTCCCCCCAAAAAAATGAATAAATGAGGGGCTGTACATTTTGCATCAACAAACAGAAATTAAATTTTGTTTTCAATGAAATTTAAATTCTGTCAATAAATTTGGACTTTTAGAGTTTTGATTGGATTTTTGGAGTTTTAGATTGTAAAGCTAAAAATTTCACTTCATAAGTGCCCTCACGTTTGAGCAGGGGGCAAGTATTTCAGGGCTATTTGTTGACAGGTCTCCGCCATCCCAATTTTTTACAAAGTCTCCTTATTTGGCATAGGTATAAGCATACTTAAGATTGGAGTTTGCACAATGTGTGAAATTGTCTTATGCCACCCCTTATATACTGGCCCTGAGTATACTCAGAGCCAGTATATAAGGGGGAGCATGTGTGCATGCATGTACAAAAAATAGGTTGCCTATTTTTTGAGTCAACAAAAAACAGGTTTTAGCAGTGCAATGGCTAATAGGTCGGAGACCCCCTCCCCTTTAAAAAAAAACGTGTCATTACAGTCTCAAAGTCTTCCAAATTTTACTGCTAGCTTTTGCTAAAATAAAATAGCAAAAAGTCATAAAATTTGCTGCTTCCCCACAGCACCCCATCCCCTCTAATTATGGGGTATGGGTAGCCTACACTCAGCACTGGGTTTTAAGCTTTGTTTTCAATATTACTCTTCTCGCGTGACTCGCTTTTTACGAACTTACTAAAGAGGGGACTTTTTAAAGTCCCCTCTTTAGTAAGTCCGTAAAAAGTCCCCTCTTTAAAGTAAAAAAATTGTCTGTAAAAAGTCCCCTCTTTAAGTCCCTCAAAAAAAAGTCTGCCTTAAGTATAGTTTATTTTTATTTGATGCGTCTCGTAAAATAGGACTTTACTGGGAATCAGTTTATATATGTTTTTACTTTACCTGATGTTATTATACAGATCCCTAACAAAAAGAATACAATAAATACTTTACATAAGATTTGATAAAGATTAAATGGTCTTTAATACTGCTCTTATAAATATATGTAATAATCATTTGTATATAATAAGTTATAACACCTGTAGTTTCATCACATTTTAGTTTAAACTCATACCAACCAACTGTTCTGAACTCGGGCCTCCACTGTCACTGCCCATAACATTATCTCTTTGATATAACGAGATTTAATTTTATTTAAATTTATATTTGTATATAGTTGATGATGTTTTTTAAATTATGATCCTTTGCCACTAACAAAGGGCTTTAGGGTTGTATAAATACTTTATACGTTTTTCACCCCCCTCCTTTTTTTTTTATATAAAAATTTATTGAAATAAAAAAGGTGGAGGAAGTATCCTAGATACTTTTAAAGTATCTAGGGTATCTCCTCCACCTTTTTTTTTTCAATTAGGGGGGGGGGGGGATTATGAAAAACATATGTATTTTTTAAGGGGGTGGGGACTTAAAAGTACACATGACAACAGGGGGAGGGGGTGTCAAATTTCAGAATTTTTGGCATACATACTTTATGGACGACCCCTAAAGAGAGAGGGCTTGGTCAATTTGATCAGAAATAACATCGAAAAGAGGGTAGTCTTGAGATGAAGGAGAGCGATATAGAACAAAGAGAAAGGCGATAGAGTGAAGTGGTGCTAAACGAAAGCACATAAAAAAATAGTTGATGGATTCAAACCTAGTTTCCCGACAATGGGTGAATTCTTACAAATGTAAATGCCCAGGTAGTGAATGATAAGTTTAAAGAACTTGGTGATGACAATGGTGTTTTGTGTTTTATAGTTTTAGGTACTTTATTCAGTTTTGAATTTGTTAAAAAAACTTGATCCAAAGCATAGATAATATTAAGTACACTATTTAATAATCCAAGCAAGTACCTCATTACAATTAATAAACCCTAAGCCGTAATAAAGAACTCCAAATATGGCCTCAACAATGTACACCAAAAAGATGAACAGAGACACTATCCAGGCGCAAAATGGTACTGTTAGTACTCTGATATTTTTCAGCTGTTGATGGAATCAGCCTCTCTGAGAGCTACCACAGAGTTTGGAAACCTGATTGAGTTTTAGAGCTGTACCCTCATTAGGCGATAATAGAATGAGTAGCCTAGTCATAAAAACAGAGACACAAGCAAAACCCATGCATTGAGTCAAGAAGATCCAGCATTCAGTATCCTAAACTGGAAACAATATATTATAAATACATCTGCACCAGCCTAATAGATGAAGAAAGAGTGTGAGTCTGGTCAACAGCTAGAATCTGTTTACCCCTTAAGTCTTTGCCTAGGAGGCCTTCTACAAGACAGTAGCCAGATGCAATTAAAATCTGCCCAAAATGAGTATTTTTATTGAGACACCATCTCTAGCCTTTACTCACCCAAAAGGCCTAAGGCAGGGGTTGTTTTAAGTTAAAGTTGGCTTCTTCTAGCCTTTGCCTTAAAGAGCGTATCCTACAAGGTAGCAGGAAATGAAGCAGGTTGTACTGGGTTACATGATAACAGTAGCAGGTAACCTGACCTGATGTTTAAGTAGCCAAAGTGTTTAGTTTTTCTTAATTAGTAAAATAAATTTGTTTTGAAATAATTTATTTTATTGCGGTAGTTTAAAAAAGTTAATGTCCTTGAATAATAAAAAATAAAGATTATTTTTACAAGATTTTTGAAATTGAAATTGTGCCAAATTTTTAATTATTACTAATTATTAATTATTAATAATTTAAATTAATTATACTAATAGTATAAAATATCAGTTTCATACACTTGGTTTGTATATAAATAAATATATATATAAATATATATGTGTATATATATAAATATATATGTATATATATATACAAAAAAATCCTGACCTCGTTTCTATGTTTAATGGTAAGATCATTGTACCGTTTTTTTTAAAAGATTGAGGTCTGCAATTTATTGTTGACCTCATTTTTCTTAATTCCGAAGGTTGTACATATATATATATATATATATATATATATATATATATATATATATATATATATATATATATATATATATATATATATATATATATATATATATATATATATATATATATATATATATATATATATATATATACATGCCAACCTTAATTGCGAGGGTTGATATATATATGTATATGTGTATATATATATATATATATATATATATATATATATATATATATATATATATATATATATATATATATATATATATATATATGTATATATATATATATATATCTATATCTATATATATATATATATATATATATATATATATATATATATATATATATATATATATATATATATATATATATATATATATATATATATATATATATATATATATATATATACACATATATGTATGTATGTATGTATGTATGTATGTATGTATGTATGTATGTATGTATGTATGTATGTATGTATGTATGTATGTATGTATGTGTATATATATATGTGTGTATACATTGAACTTTTTGCAATAGATAATGGAATGCAATATTGCTCATTGAAAGAAACATTTACTTGCATGTTTCCAGCACAAGGTTTCTAAATATATATATACTTTTTTTATTAGTATTCAATTTAATTTCAGTTTAAAGCTTCTACTATGTTGACTCTAGATTACTTTTACTCTAGATTACTTTTACTTTTTAAGAATCATTTAATGAATATGAAATGGGAAAAAGATGTCCAGTAGAATGCAACTCAATAACTTTTAAGCATGAACTTACTTATTCTCGGTATCAACCTCAATCAGTGTCTGTACCTTTAATGGAAACATTATCAACTAAAAATATTACACGTCCAGTTTTAAAGTTAATGAAAGAAAAAAATATGGGTTACAATGAAATTATCAATTATATACGGTAAAGTTGTGTGTGTGTGTGTGTGTGTGTGTGTGTGTGTGTGTGAGTAAATATATGTGTATATATATACACACATATATATAGACAAATATATGTGTATATATATATATATATATATATATATATATATATATACATATATATATATATATATATATATATATATATATGTATATATATATATATATATTTTTTTTTTTTTTCTATAATTTTTATATAATTTTTTTTTCAGTTTTTATTTTTTAAATTTCTAATAAATTGTTTTTTAATTTTTTATTTTTGATATCTTTGATATATTTACTTTTCAAGAATAAAAAGAGATTTTTATTCTTAAAATGTAAATATATCAAGAACTTTTTTTTATCTTGCTTCCTTGATTATTTTTCTTCTCAAATTTTTTCAACTCTTTTATTAAAACCCTGCAACTCTAGAAAACCAGAAAAGTTAATCATGTTTTTTTCTTGTTATTTGATCTACTGCCATGTTGATCAATTGACATTTTTCTTAGATCACAAGTGTTCTTGCTATTAAATACAGTGAAATAGAGTGACCCAAAATGCGATATCTTAATGACCCAAAATGTAATATCTGAGTGACCCAAAATGTGTTATTTGAGTGACCCTAAATTTGATATCTGTGCGACCCAATATGTTAATTGATTTTTTTGATTATTGGATTTAGTATGGAATTTTTATAAAGTTTTGATGTAGAATTTTAAATTTCTTAAAAATAAAAATAAAGAGAAAGTGCTTTCCATTTTTCATTCATTCATTAAAGTTGTTTTATTCATCAAAGCTGTTCTTCAGAACACTCTTTAATTCTTCAGAACACTCTTTAGGCTCTAAACTATTTAATAAGTGTCTGCTGGAAAATGATATCTTTGATTCCAGCATTCAAAAACTCTCGAGTATATTCTGACCTCTCCAATCATCATCCAATCAGTTTTCTTTCTGTTGTGACTAAGGTCTTAGAGGTCAAGGTCTTTGATCAACAAATATCTAACATACCATCCTGAGTCAAATAACTTTTAGATTTATCAATATGGTTTTCAATCCTCTCTCTCTACAGTTGACTTGCTAGCTATTGTGACTGAAAGATTCTATTGTGCATTAGATGGAGGTGACAAGGCTAGGACTATTGCTCTTGACATATCTAACGTTTTTGACAAAGTTTGGCGTGCTGGTCTTCTTCATAAGCTTGTTTCCTATGATGTATCTGGGAAAGTTTTTGAGATTATCAAATTGTTTCTTTCTAACCACTTTATTAGTCATCCTGGAAGACCAACACTCTTCACTTCTGGGGTATCTCGAGGTTCTATCCTTGGTCCTATTTTGTTTTTTATCTACATTTATGATCTTCCTGACAACCTTACATCTAAAGTGGCTCTATTTGCTGATGACTAAACTTTATACTCCTGTCTTGACAAAAAGTCTTCTCTTTTCGATTGCTTAGAATGAGCAGCTGATCTTGAATCTGATCTCACTTCTGTAACAGATTGGGGCTTGCAGTGACTTTTAAACTTTAACTCCAATAAAACTCATTTACTTACTGCAAACAACTATTGTAATACTTTTAACATTCCTATGTTAGTGAATGGCAACCTCACTGAGTCCTCTTCTTTACATCTTCTTAGAATAGGCTTCTTTTTTAATGTTGCTTCTGTTTATCGTGTTCACCATTTTCTTAAATCTCTTATTTGCCCCTATATGGTATACTGTTGTCATATTTGGACTGGTTTTTCTAGTGATGCTCTTTCTTTTCTAGACAATTCCAAAAATGCATTGTAAGTGTAGTTGGACCCGCTATATCTGCCAAGCTCGAGCCTTTCTCCCATCATCATAAAGTTGAATCTAATTCACTTTTTTTACAAAAACTATCATGGTTGCTGCTCAAAAGAGGTTTCATTATGCATGCTTCTTGATCTTGAGTCTTTTGATGTCATCTGCGCTTTTTATTTTATTACTCTCTATTTATAAATTTTAATATTTGTTTCTTTGTTAAAGTAGATTTTATATCGATAGATGCAGGCTCTGCATCAGATATAGGATGATCCATGATTGACTTGTTGTGAATGAGGCTTGTAGTTCTTCAGGCTCTTTGTTATAGAGCTTTTTTCAGCTGTCTGCTTATTTTTTCTTTTTTGAGCTTTTAGATATTTTAATTAACATCTTGCTAACTTAGGGCAGAATATTTATTATAGTTTGTTATAATGAATGATGTTTTTAACTTTAAACATACATTTAAAAAAGAAAAAAGAAACAAACAAAAAAACTAGTATAGTGTATGGCATTTATTTTTTGGAAAATTTGTTACTACCACTACTTACAACAAAAAATATTTTTATGTTAAATCATATATGCAAAGAAAAAACATTTTTATGTTAAATCATATGTGTAAAGAAAAAGTTAATATTGTCCTTTTAAGTTTTAATCAGTTTAATTAAAGAAGAAAAAATATTAAAAAAATACTTTAATACCTAATTACAGCCAAAACAAAATAATATTTGTTATTTAGTTTGAAGTTCAAATGTATATTTAATAACAACAAATGTATATTTAATAATAACAAACTGCTACCCAAAAGTATGGCAATTATTAAAATAATTATTTTGTCATATTTGATCAATATATTTAGTTTTCAGAACTGGATTTACCAACCCAAAAATATTTTAACAAACATGTAAAATACATAAAATTGGCTACTTAATATCTTTTTCATTTATATTCTTAGCAATGTCTGGACATATGCAACAAAACAAACAGACATATGCAACAAAACAGAAAAATCCAATTTCAAAAGAGTTGGAAGGACAATGAAAATTATAGACAGATGAAATTATACAACTACCTTTGAAATTCACTTAAAAAGTCATGGAATTTGTTTAGATAAGGCAGTTGAATCCATTATATTAACATTTGAGAGAGCAAGTGAGAAGAGACAAAAAACTGTTGGTATTCTCTTTGCGCAAAAAAAGCTTCAAAATATTATCTCTGATTTGACTATGGACAGCATTTCAATTTAAGCCATAACCAGAAATAAATGCATTCGTTAGTCAATAGCTCAAAATAAATTTTGAGCTATTGACTAACTAAACTCCCTTCTAACAAAAGCGGTGTAATGAAACTTCTCTTCGAAATTTGAAGATGATATTTAATATAATGGTATACTGAAGAACTTTAATACAAAAATAAGATTACGGCTTTTCAATAGGATTTAATGTGCTTATATAAGTTTTATAACAAAAACCAAAAAGGTTTTTGTTAAATAAACAAAAACCAAAATAACCAAATTAATAACCAAATCGAGAATTACAATATCTTTTAAAATTTTTTGTTCCTATGAGTTTTTTCCTTAAGTTTTGTGATGTTGTTTTTTTGTTGATAAAAAGTAAAAATTAATAAATCCTCCCCTGTATTAAGTACCTACAAGTACTACCTCCCATGTATTAAATACCTCCCGTGTATTTAGTGCCTACCATGAATTAAGTACCTACCCATCTGTAAATAAAAATTTTTCCAAAATTAAAAAGTAGTAAAATAGCTGTTTTTTAAAATTCTAAAAGGAGTAGAGTTAGCTGTGATGTCACAAACCAGCTGAAGTGTTTGTTCATAGAGTTAGCTGTGATGTATTTTGCCTCAGTAATATTATTATTAATAGCCTGGACAGCTTAATAAGCACAAAATTCATGTTTCAAGGAAATTCAAATTTTTAAAAAATACACAATTTTTTTTTACAAAATCAAAGGAAAATTTATTTTCTCGTCAGTTAAATTAAAGTAATGGAAAATCTTGTTTCTTGCAATGTTTCTTAAAAACACATGCAATAACATTTTTAAAAAGCCACCATAGATCTGATTTATTTATTATATTTTTTGACAGGGTAGTATTTATAGCATGTGCTATTCTTAAATAACCAGATTTTAAAAACACACCGTATGAGTTGCACTTTTTCACTGTAGGTTTAGCTTGACTTTAAATTTTTTGCAAGTGTTTGTTTTCGCCATTCATGGCAACTTTTTCACCTTTTAAAGCAATCCAACCAAACTGGAGTTGTAACTTATTAAATTTTTTATGTTTAAATATTAATAGTGTACAACCTAGACTCAAAGCTTACTTGAACAAGCTTTGGGCCTGGGCTCTACAGAGTACTTTCAGATTAGCTATTCATGTCAATAACACAAACTATACCTTCTTCTAATCTCTCAATTAGCTTACAACACATTAAAACTATATTGGTAACTTAATTGCCTACTTGCTTAATAATTAATGCACCTGTCCAAAAATAAATAGGCTCAGAGCAAACTTAGTACCACTGCAGTTAATTTTCTTTACTCTAAAATCAACCCATCATATAAATTAAATGGCTATACAATGTGTGCTGAATCACGTTTCTTAATAATTTTAACCTGACACGGTTTGTCACAATTTGTTATAACTTAACAACTTGAAATACATTTAACTTATGAATAATTTAGGGTTTATTACCACAAACCAGCTGAAGTGTTTGTTCATAATTATTGATGATGGTGTTCAGGTTACTTTAAAAATAGATTAATCTCAACACTTTTTAAGTGTAAGTTTTTAACTTAATATCACAAGTTCAGTTCACTTTTTGATGATCAAAACTCACCAAATATATCCTTACTTGAATACGATAGCAACCATTACAATTACATTACATACAGACCAATACCTGTTTTTAATGAATAAATTTGATTTAACAGATAACATCCAAAATAATTAAAGCAACAAATCTTTAGTAAAGACTTTAAAACCAATACATCAAAATAGATTGTAATAGATATGTTATGCTTAAAAATTATTACAAGAAGGATAGCAAAATTTTCAAAAAACTAGTCAAACAATGTGAACAATTTAAAAAAAAAGTTAAAAAGGGTCTCATTAATCTAGTCTAATTTTAAAGGTTTATCCTAAATTATTTATTTGTTTTAAATTATTTATTTGTTCTAAATTAGTAACTATATCAACTATTAGCTATATTAAATTTCATTTTAAATAAAAAATTTTAAACATCTGAGAAAAGAGGAAAATGTGTATTATTTGTTTGTATTGTTAAAGATTTATGTTTATTCTTGTTTAATGTTTATTTAAACTCTAAAAATAAATTAATAATATATAATATAATATATAATAATAAATTAAAAATTTTTAGTAATAAACTTAAGTAGAATACCTACAGAAAAGAACTCACAAAAGTTCAGCATTTTTAGGTATTTTAGAAATAATCTTTATTTTTTTAATTGTTTTTTATTTTCGCCTAATATATTTTTTAAGAATCAAATATAAAAGCAATTTGACTGATAGTTTTATTTTGTCTGTGTTGAGATAGCTATGCATTAGACTAAATTTTTGCAATGATTTGGAATTCAAAAACAAGCAAGATTTTCTATAAAATACCAATTCTGATGATATATTTAATTAATTTATCCAATATTATTTCTCCATTAAATTTTTTTTATCTTTATGAACTCTAAAAAATAATGAATATTTTTCCTGTTGCTTGGTTGTTTTGTTGTTAATAAGAAACTCTAAACCAATGAACAATCGATTATTAGACCGAGTTTTATGATGTGAAATATGGTTTTGTCACAATTTAAAAATAGTTTGCTAAACTAAATGCTAAAATGCATTTCTAAAAAACTGATTGAAATGTTCTAAATAATTTAAAAATTAAAACATTTTCATAGCACCAACATTCTTAAAGAGGATAGTTAGGAAAAGATTACAAATGTTGATTAGATGAGTCAAAAATGTTGATTAGATGAGTCAAAAATGTTGATTAGATTAGTCAAAAATGTTGATTAGATGAGTTCAAAATAATTATATATAGTCAAAATAATTATATTTAAATATTAAACAATATTGAAATTACCTTTAAAGTTTTTTTAAAAGAAAATTCATAACAGCTTTTAAATCAAATATTGACAGTAAAACATGTGATCAACTGTACTGAATGTAAAAGATGTGGTCAACTGTGCTGAATGTAAAACGTGGTCAACTGTACCGAATGCTTTTGAGCAGTCAAATTCACCTAGTGTCTGCTTTTATCAAAAAGCATGCTCAGTTTTTTAAAATCCAAGTTAATTTTTATATGAAAGTTTATTTAAATTAGAAAAGCTGTTTAAAAAAGATGCTATTAAAGAAAATTAGAATTTTTTAAGGCACTCAATATTGCTGCATTACTAGTGATGTTGTCATAACAAGTAAAACATTACTTAGTAATGTTGTCTTAGTAACTAAAACATTACCTAGTAATGTCCACACATTTTGTTTCTTTTTAACTCAGTTATGTTTAATTTTCCATATTTTTTAATTAGATATTTAAGATAGGAGTTTGCATTTAATAAACTAGTCTAACTGTTGCTTGGCTTTAATAATGTTAAGCAAAATTTTGCTATTTTATAGACAATTTGATTCATTTAAATATAATATAATTAGTTATAATAAAATTACATTATGCTTAGCTGAAAAAAGTTAATTTTTTTTTTTAGAGAAAACATCATTTTTGTCATCTTCTTTTTTGGAGATATGAAAAAAGAAGTTCATGAACAAGAAGCAACTTTCGATTTTTATCAGTTTCTTGGTCTGAATATTTAATTTATTTTTAAATACTTTTTAACTACTTTTAAAATTTCAGTTTTGGATTTTGAATATATATATATATATATATATATATATATATATATATATATATATATATATATATATATATATATATATATATATATATATATATATATATATATATATGTATATATATATATATATATATATATATATATATATATATATATATATATATATATATATATATATATATATATATATATATATATATATATATATATATATATATATATATATATATATATATATATATATATATATGCTGGGACCTCCTAAATGTGTTCTATATGATATAAAACACTGAGTTTAAAAGTTTTTTGAATAAAAAATGATTTAGACCAAAGCCCTTAAATGTTGACCCCCATGACCCTTGAATATATAGCGAGTTCCTAATATCGTCAAAAAAAATTTCTTTAAAAGTATATTATATTGGGTCTCAAAAGAAGCGAAATGAAAATTTTAAAAACTATATTATATAAAAATGAATGTTAGATTTAACAGCAAAAAAAATGAAATTTTTTATGCTGTTAAATCTAATTTTTTTACAAAATTTTTTTCTAAAAGTTTCTTATAATATAATTATCATTTTTGAAATTTTCATTAGACTTCGCTGTATTTGAGACCCAACATGACACACTTTATAAAAATATTTATAGTTTTAAACAAGCGTTTTTATATCGTATAGAACAGATTTAGGGGGTCCTAAATCTGTATATATAATATATATATATACATATATATATATATATATATATATATATATATATATATATATATATATATATATATATATATATATATATATATATATATATATATTATATATATATATATATATATATATATTCATATAAAAATACACGCATATGTATATAAAAATACATTATACTAAAAAACAACATTTTTAAAAAATATGTGCTGCCACCACCTTAATGTGTTCTATATGATAAAAAAATTCAAAAATGTTAATTATATTATATAAAAATAAATGTTAAATTTAACAGCATAAAAAGTGTTTATTAAAGTTTATTAAATAAAAATTAAAAAATATTCATTTTTATTAATTTTTTTTTCCACAATTTTTTCAATAAGTTTTTTATAATATAGTTATCATTTTTGAAATTTTCATAAAAGTTTGCTTCATTTGAGACCCAACATAATACATTTTTGAAGAACTTTTTTTTGATAATGTTAGAAACTCATTAAATGTTGAAGGGTTGAGAGATTCCTGAAAATATTTTTACTCAAAATTTTTTTAATTTTTGGATATATATGTATATCTATATCTATATATATATAAATATTATATATATTTAGTGTATCTTACTTAATAGTAACAATAAAAGAAAGAAATATTTTATATGCAGTGTTTATTTGTTTGACCACTACTTTATATATATATATATATATATATATATATATATATATATATATATATATATATATATATATATATATATATATATATATATATATATATATATATATATATATATATATATATATATATATATATATATATATATATATATATATATATATATATATTAGATATATATAAAAAATATATATATATAAATGTGTATGTATATATATATATATATATTTTTTTTTTGTTAATAATATTAGGTGATATGGGAGGTGAAATTGGTCTTATGTTAGGTGCCAGTCTGCTTACGTTTGTCGAATTTATGGACTTGCTTATTTTTTTTGTGTATCACCAACTATTGAGAATTCAATCTTAGAATATTTTAATTTTTTTTACTTCATTTTAAAAAAACATTTTGTTGTCATTATTTTCGTTTACTAATAATTGCACAGAATTGTATTTCATATTTATTGTATAATTGTATGTTATCAAATAATTGTATTATTTATCTGAATTTTTATCATATAATTGTATTATTTTTATCATCGGTAATTGTACATCATTGTTATTTAAAAAAAAAAACAAATAAATTTATTCAAATTAATAAGTATTAATATAACAGATTGTAATAATATATTTTTATAAAATTTACAAATTGCTTAAATAAAAATTTTATTTTAATTTAATAATAATAGCTATCTAATATGTAAATAAATAACTAGCATGGCAACAAAAAAAGATGATTTAGCGTGAAAATGTTATTTCAAAGTTAATAAGAAAGAAACAATGGTTACCAATAAATAAAAAGAAATACTATTCAATACGGAGGACCAATAGTATATTTATCTTACAAAAATACATTTTTTTTATTAACATACCTAGACTAGAGTTTTCAGCTTTTCCTAATACCTTATAAGCATGCTTATGCTTATAAAAAACATGTATAACATTCTATTCTAGATACCGTCTTCCTCGTGTTGTAAGATACCACTTCTCTCGTATTATTAAGTACTGCCATCCTAAATATAGCTATTTAAGCACCTACCAATCTATATGTAAGAGAGATTATCTATGTATGGATCTATGTACATATAGACCTGATAGGCACCAGTTTTTCTTTTTTTTTAAACAGCTAAACCCCCAGACAAACAAAATGACGTTTTAAAGCCAAGTTCTTATTTTATACAGGCAGTGTTGCAAAGATTTAAATTACAGTAAATTTGCCAAGAATAAAAAGATTTTTTGAAATATTTTTAATTAAACATTTTTCATTTTAAAAGACTTAGGCGTGCTCTATTCTTTTGTGGTCAGTAAAGAGTACTTAGTTTACTTTTTTAAGCATTACCCCATGCATAATTTTGCATGCATAATTTTGCATGCAATATTTGCATAACTTAGATGATAATGGTAAGTGAGTAGTAAAGTTGAATTAATAAATTCCTATTTAAAAAATGTCTCGCTTTGTATTCCAATATTTTTTAAATTTGAATAAAGTTTGAATATGTTTTTTTCGTAAGACATCGGTTAGCAAAGTAATAATGTGGTTAGAAAATTATTTATCAAACTGAAAAAAATTATGTTTTCTGTAATGATGTTTATTAAAAGGATTTATTAGATATATCTAATATTTATTAGATATATATGTGGTGTTCCGAAAAGCTCTACATTAAGGCCACTTCTTTTTTTGGTTTATATTAATGACTTGATTAAAGCCTCAAATCTACTTTGTATTATGTTTGCGGACAACCTAATTCTTCCTAATAATAATATTTGTAAATTCACTGACGAGCTTAAAAACATTTCTACCAGTTTCAAATGTAACAAATTAACTATATAATATTAATAAAAATAACTATTTTGTGTTCAATTTACTTGAAAAAAACGCTACCTACCAATAAATCTGCCTCCAATTTTTATTGACCAAATTCAATAAGATTAAAAGAGACTGCGTTACAAAGTTATTAGGAGTTTTCCTGGATGAACACATGGAAACATCACATTGATTATATCTGCACCAAAATTTTTGAAAATATTTTAATTTTGTATAAAACTTATTTATTTAAATAAAAAGAACTTGTTGTCCCAACTTTATTTGTTTAACCAATAGCTATTTAATTTATGGGAATAAATTAAATAGTTATTGCGAAACTTATGCCTATATATATATATATATATATATATATATATATATATATATATATATATATATATATATATATATATATATATATATATATATATATATATATATATATATATAAATTAAATGTATTTAATGTCTTATGTTTTGTATATAAGTGTAAAAATAATTTAGTTCCTAACGTTTTTAAAAATATTTTTACTTTAAAGCCTGTCAGTAAATATACCCTAAGAACTAATGATTTGCTTAACCAAATTTTTTGTTAAACTAAGTTCGACAAAAATTCATCCGTTTTGCAATTAGTTTTGTATTGATTATCGTGCACCATAACTTTGGAATAAAGTTATTTTGCAAAACTTTGATTTGCTTTCTTCTTACCCTGTTTTTAAAGCTAAATTTAAAAGTTTTATTCTTTCCATGGACAACGTACTTATGTACAACTAGTTTAGTAACATTTTGAAAATTTTGACTTTCTATTAATAATAAGTATTAATTTATTTTACTGTGTACATTAGGTCAGTTTATTTTGTTTATAGTATTAGTCTATATACTTTATAAAGTTTATTTTGTTTCATCATTGTAAGAAGTTTATAAGTTTATTTTAACTCGTCATTTTAAGAACTTCATTACTACATTTTAAAAAACGGTTTTATTAAGGTTCTGATGACAAAATCTTTGTGATCTTTATTCAGTTACCTTAATGATATTGTTTATTATTGTAAATTTGTAAAAGGTAGCTATTATTATTATTTTATTTTTATCGCTATATAATTGTACAACGACAAACTATTGTAAACAAAAAAATTAAAAATTCAACCAAGGAAATGTATAATTTTTTATTGTTTTATTTGAACGTAATCAATAAATATTAAAGCCTCATTATCTAGTAAAAGGTTTTTTTTTTGAATTTTGGATGAAATAAATTCCATTTTCTTTATTCCATTATTTTTAATTTAATTTATAATTTATTTTTGTTGTTGTTCTCAGACTCCAATCAACGCAATTTTTTGCAAAACATCCTTTTTTGACATAAGTACAAACACATAAATATTGTGAGTTTGCTCTATATTGAAGTTAGTTAAAGTTAATTTCTATCAGACTTGCCATTTTTGTATACGTTTTGATTCACCAATATTAATCAAACCATTTTTCAGAGTAACACCTTTCAGTTTGGTCATCAACCCTTTTATTAGACAGAATGAAGCTGCCATGAGTTCAAGAATAGTCCCAATATATGCTAAACTGTTTATGGGTGTATTAGATATAAAGATCATGAAAAACTTTCAAAACAACAAAAAGTTTTATAAGCGTTTTATAGATAATATTTTTAAATTTAATAAATATATTGTCACAGGGACATTTAAACAGCCTCCTATTTGTGATACTGTTATTAATTTATTATAATATATAACAACTAATCAAATACTATAAACGTACTCTGACATCTTAAATACATTTTATCAGGTTATCGTATTATGCAAAACAAACCTACAATATTATGTTTATGTATGTTTATATATTTAAATCATAATATATCCAGGTTACATGAGTTAGAGGAGGGTGGAATATGAGTGCACATACTTGTAACCATTCCAAAAACTTATTTACCATTGCGTGACTGATTCTGATAGACTACATACACAAAATAGATAATTTAAATGAATAAAAGATAACCACAAAATTAAATCTATAAAGTTGAAAACTTGGTATAAAGTATTTTTCATCAAAACAAAATAAAAATGTACTTACTGAAGAGATAAATGAACAATCGAAAAACAAAAGCTTTTTTTAATCTTATAACCCCCCATTTTACTCCCAGCGGGGGTTTGTTTTTATAAAGTTACGTTCTAAATGTATTTTAAATGTCTTATAAATATTCTTACGTAAAGAACGTATAAAAAATGTTTAGAAGACATTTAGAACGTAACTTTTAAAATCAAATGCCCGTAGGGCAATTTTTAAAAATATTTGGCACAATGAAATGGCGCAGGGAGAGACAATTTAACACAATTCTTTCTTATTAGGAAACTATATTATTTTGTTATTATTATTTTACTTTTGTAGTTCAAGTAAAATTTTTAAAGTTTTTAATAGTTTGTTTTAAAAAAATAGTCCTAGTTTGATTTTTAATAATCTTGATTAAGTTATATATGTCAGTGTTTAAAACATTATTAATTAATAGGGTGTCCCCCAAAAAAAACTTTTTTGCATGTATTTCCCATTCTTTTATGTCTACTGAGTTCAGATCTTAGACTAAAATTTTTTTTAATTTTAAAATTTTTGTGACCTCATATTCAGCTATGTGTAAAATCTCAATTTCTTCATTTTTGATAAAATTTGAGATTTTTTACATTTTTTTTAGATGCAAGTCTAGCAATTTTACGATTTTAATGTTCCTTACCACATGGGATTTAGAATGTTTTTAGACTATGTGAGAATCATTCAACCTGGGCTGTTTGGTACAGAAGGTTCATTAAAACTTTATTCACATAGGAGACGATAGCAATGACTAGTTGAACAACCTTTGTGTTTTCTTTATTCTACTTTCTTTTAACTGTTTTTTTCTATATTATTATGGTTATAATGGCTAAAAGTAATAATTTGAAGTTGTTTTTTTTATTTGTATACAAACAATTTTATTTGCATTTATGTAATAGTAATATATATCTTCAATATACATTTATTAACATAAAAGATGTATCATAAAATGTAATTTTACCAGGGGTTATTTGAATGAATTTTTTTACTTATTTGTTATAGGATTAAATAATAATAAAAATTTTAACTGAAATAATGGGTCGTAGTGAAAAAAAAAAAAGGGGGAGAAGAGAAACTACAGCGTATCAACAAATCCAAGAAAGCTGCTGTTTTAGGAGACAAGTTCAGACACGAAATTATAACTAAGCTGAATGAAAAGAAGCTCTGTGCATTTTGATGGAAAGAGGATGAAACAGATTGAAGAAGATCTAAACATAACTGTTTATGTAGAAAAGATACTGGTTAGTGTTACATCACCTGGTATGGATGACACTGAGGACATACTGCTGGGTGTTGTTCAGACAGCAAGCTCCAAAGGTGACCAAGCTGAAACAGTTTTAAATCTCCTACAATACCTTGACATTCTAGATCAAATATTTGCTGTTTGCTGTGACACTAAAGGTTTAAAACTGGAATACGCTCTGGTGCTGTTGTTACATATGTTAGAGTCACACATATCGCAATTTATGGAGGTTTTGACTATAAAGAAAAAAAGTCCAAGAGCTAGGGTTCTATACCAACTCCAGACAAAATGGTTTTTAGTCAAAAAGGAAGTTGACAAGATGGTTAACCTAGTTAGATTTGATTGCAGTCCGATTTTAGCTGGATCGCTTTGTCACAAAATTGCTAAGGAATCTCTGGAGTTTGGAATAGAGGCCCTTACTTCTAAAACATTTTTCAGGAATCATTACTGGAAACTATG